TGCAACACCCACAACACATGCAACCACAACATCCACAACATCCACAACAAATTCATAACCAACAACAACCACAACAACATCCAAACCAATCACCTCAAATTAATAACATAAATCACAATATTAATAACCATATTCATAACAGTATAATAAATTCAAGTCCAGAACTTGCCTCTCAAAAAGAAAACGAAACAAGAAGTGGGTTCCCTAAATTAATTGAACAAGAAAGTAGTCCAATTATTGTTAAAATGGAAAAGGATGGTATACCTACAGCAACAAATAATAATAGTAACACAAACAATAATACAACCACAAATACAAACATAAATACAAATACAACCACAAATACTAATACCAATACAAATACCAACAACAATAATAACACAAATAATAATTTAAATATTCAAAGTAACCATATATTTAATAGTAACTCATCATCGTCATCAACACCTCCAATTTCACCAGCAAATATTAATAATCAATCACCAACTATTTCACCAGCATTGGTACCAGTTATAACCCAATCAACAGAAGACAATAAACCCAAAAAGAAATTAGGATTAAGCATTGTTATCCCTCCTAACGATGGTAGTAATATTAATTCAAAATTACCCCCACTTAGTAATAGAGAAAGTAACAAATTAACACCAATCAATACTGAAACAAAACCATTAACTGATCCACTCCCATCACCACGTGACTTCTATCCCGAAATTAACCTTCCAACAGACATTCTAACACCAAGTTCAAATAACCCCTATTGGAGTTGGGGTACTCCACGTGGTCTTAATAGTATGAATGAAGCTTTGGGGCCCTTATCTCCTGGTAGAAATTTCTTCGAGTCCTATTTAAATGGAATGCCAAATATTAATAGTAATAGCAGTGGAAGTAACAATAGCTCTGATGAAAGCGAAACTATAGGTAAAAAAAGAAAATCATAATTTTTTATATAATACCTAATAATAATAATAATAGTAATAATAATAATAATAATAATTTAAACATATATTTATATAAATTGTATAATATTAAATTTTTTAAGAAAAAAACTTGTATATGTAAATAATACCTAGAAAATTAAATAATAAAAATAACTTTATTATATTTTATTTTTAACAAATATAAATATTTTATTAGCTTCTATTTTTTTTATTTTATTTGTTGCACTTTTAGTTTTATTGATTTTAAATTTCATATTGTTTCTTTTTTTAATATATTGCTGAGCGCCAAAAAAAAAAAAATAATATGATAATGACCAAATCTTTTATTTTTCTGTAATTAACCAATGTGTCAAATATAATCAAAATAATTGAAGGACAATTATGAATAAACAATTAAGAATAATTACCCTGTGGAACAAAAAGATTATAAATAAAATAATTAAATAACTTTCTAAAAATAAAGTAACCACACATTAAAAGACACCTTTTAAAACACAAACTATTAAATACAATAATGGAAATAAAAATAAAAATGAAATGTATATTTATGATAAATAAAAAATAATAAAATTAAATTTTCTTTTGAAAATATTGATATTATAACAGGTAAAATAGGGATAATTAGAAAGATGGGAATTAAGGTTTTAAAGTTTTAATTATACCATCAAAGTAGTAGAAATTGATTGAGTTTCTCCTATACGCTCTTCTGATTTTATTCTTGGTCTTTCAATACTTTGTTTATTTCTGCTTGGTTTATTAATAATGTTGGTATTGATTTTATAAATTAGAGTTGTTTTGCTGTTGTTGTATTTCTAATGAGTATTTCTGTGGACCTATTTTGTTTTTAGGTGCCATTCTGTCTACTAAAATATTCACACATAATATCTGGTTGGTAAAACTTTGATTTATTATAAACCTATAGTTTTGGTTTTTATTAATGGTTGTTGTGATTTTACTAATAATTTTTAAACTTGAATATACTAAACGATGATATTAAATTTGAGCCTATATTCTAACTTCATAAATACCTGAAGCCTAGTCTATTTACCATAAACTTATCGAATAGTTTTATAAATAAATCTGAATACCTTGGCTTATACCAATAGAAAGGGGTAAATAAAAAATTTAAAATAGATTATTGTTATTATTTAATAAAAAAATCAAATTTTATTTTTCAAAAAAACCAAATAATTTCATTTTTAATAAAATGTTTCTCATCTAAATAAAATACATTGCAGTTATATTGAAAGGGAAAAAAAAAAATGATTATTCTTTTTTTTTTTTGAATTTCAAACAAATAAAATAAAATATTTTTTATTATTAAAAAAAAAAAAAAAAAAATTAAAAAATAATTATTTTTTATAATTTTTTTTTTTTTTTAAAAATTTTTTAAAAATTTTTTTAAATTTTTTTGTTTTTATTTTTTTCATTCAATCACTCTATATACAAACAACAATGTCAATGATTTTCGTATGTATTATTGAAAATTAGAAACTACAACTATTTTTATTTTTGTTTATCAATAAAAACCAGTTAAATTTAAATAAAAGAGAAAAAAATAAAAAAATAATCATAAATAGTGTTACAACCACCAATAAACAATTTATATTAGATTTTATCGTTTTATAATCATAAATATTAAAAACTTGCATAATAATAGATATAGTTTGGTTTTAAAAAATCACAACTCTTTTTTTTCTTTTTTAGCAATAAAATAATAATATCTTATTAACTAATTTATTAATAATTTTTAGAAACGTTTTTACACTGCTTGCACTGCTGCCGAAGCTAAAGCTATCCTCTCTTCATTCCCAAAGAGTGATATGGATGCTAAAATCAAAAACTTATTAAAAAACAATGCCGATATTGCCAAAAAATATAACTTAACTTATACTCCATTAAGTAAGTAAATAAAACAAGTATAATAAAATTTTATTTTCAAATCTAACACATATTATTTATTAAAAATATTTAGCCGAAGAACAAGAAGTTCAACAAATTATTAAATATTCAGAACAAATGGAAAAAGCTAGAGAACATGCTTTTGAAGAATATGGTCAAAGATTCAAAGTAAATTTAGATTAGCACTTATTTGGATTTTGATATAATATAACACAATACTAATATACTTTTTTTTCTTTTTTTTACTTAAGGATGTCCAACCATTACCAGAAAAAACTGTCCAAGATTTTGTCAAAGGTTTATAAATAGATATTTAATAATAGTATAATAATAATAATTTAATTTTAAAAAATCATGGTAATATTATAAAAAAAAAAAAAAAACTTCAAATAAAAAAAACTATATAAATTAACAAATAAAAAAAATATTTAAAATATATTTTTAAAATAAAGATTTTTATAGTATTACAAATTGTATTGTTGTTTTTATTTATTAAGTTATAAAATTACAATTTTTTAAAGTTTATACATTTATAATTTTATTTTATTTTTCTATTTTTTTTATCTTTATTTTATTTTATTCTTTAGTGCCAATAGTTCTTTTTTTAATGATTCAATTTCGTTATCCTTCGACTTTAACAAAGATACCAAAGTTTGATGATCTAAATTGTCATAGTTTTCTTGAGGTTGGTACGATTTCTCTAATAAATGAGGTATTTCCTTTTCTAATAACTCTTTTGCAGAAGGTCTATTATCAGAGTTTTTATCAACCATTCTTAAAATTAGCATTGATTCATCTGGATGGGTTTTTAAAAATGAGTTTGGTAGTATTTGGTTCCTAAAATAAAATAAACCATGGTTAATATTATTTATAAAAATATATATAGATTTGATAATAATAATTACTTTAAGTTTTTAATAGATTCAGTTCTTTCGTATTGTGTGCCAAAACCACCCGATAGTAATTCAAATAATATTATACCACAGCTATAGACATCCACTTTATTTGTATAAATATTACCGGCTAATTGTTCGGGTGATGCATATGTTAGAGTACCAATACCTTGAGTGTTGATGCTGATTAATGAGTTTGTAAGTTGCAATGGTCTTTTAGAATTATTGTTAAAAATATTATTATTGCTACTATTAAAAAATGTTGACATTGAGGAGTCAGAATAGGTCCCAGTATATAAACCGATACCACTTGAGTGAATGGAATCTGGTGTTGGAGAATTTGCTGTAATGTCTTTAACTAAACCTAAATCACCAATTTTAATGATATTATCTTTTAGGAAAAGATTTGCTGGTTTAATATCTCGATGTATCATATTCATAGAATGTAAATAATGTACACCTTTTATAATTTGTTTAAAAATTGATAGTACTTCTCTTTTACTCTTTGATTTAAATTCTGGTTTTTCTATTAAATCTTTTAATGTTTTATCTTCGCAATATTGAGTTTGAATAAACATTGTATATTTTAACCTTATATTATTGTTATTGTTATGGCCATTATTACTATTACTATTGTTACGGTGACTCGGTATATTTTGTGTTGATTTTTTATTTTCTTTCGGTATATACGGTATTAATGATTTACTAACTGAAAGTGACAGGTCATTGGTATTGTCATCACTAGCTTCATTCTCTTCGCTATTTTCATCATCGCTATAGTCGTCTTCATCCTCTTCAGTGACTTCATCCCCATCATCATCATCTTCATCATCATCATCATCATCTTCATCATCATCATCCTCATCATCATTATCTTCTTCTTCTTCTTCTTCTTGTTCTTCAGTGAGTTCATTGTCACTATCTCTACTTTGAGTTTCTTCTAAATCAAAACTTGATTTATTAAAATTTGAACTTACTGAATATTCTTCATTTTGGATTAAAATTGAATTTTTTTTGTTTGTATTTAAAATCTTTTTAATAGGTTTTGGCTTATTATTGATAGTAGTGTTATTATATAAAAAATTATTTGAAGAATAAGAATCAATATCATCACTATTTGTTGTGAAATTATCTTCACCTGTGCCCATACTACCTTCTACAGAACCAAATTGTTTCGATTTGTCAATTGAGGTATCTAATTCTAACCAAGCATGGTGATATCTTAAAATATTTACATGATCTAATTTTGCTAATGCTTTAACTTCTCTAATAACTTTTTCGACTTTGGAATGGGCATTTGAAGTGGAAGAAGTGGACACTGAGAAATTAACTTTTTTAATTGCATATAGTTGAAGATCAAATATACTTTCTGCTAGAAACACAGATCCAAATCCACCCTCGCCTAGTTTTTTTAATTCACGAAATTCTCTTTGATACCTTTGTGCGTTTAAATCCTTGCTGTTATAGTTTGTTTGCGGTAGTGATGGTGGCAAAACAAGTTTATAAAGATTTTGAGGATTATTTTGAAATATTGATAGATTGTTTATTTGATTCTAATAAATATTAATGGTTAGTATTTTAGGGAAAAATTTTACTAATAATAGGTAAGAGTCTACATACGTATTTTAAATTGGTTTCATTTAATGCTCTGGAAAATAAATCTCTATAGTAGTCTAAATAAATCGTTTTAAATTGTTGTGATTTCAAAATAGTTGATGGAATGCTTAATAGTTCACTTGACATAATATTCTTTGCAAACGAAAGTACCTTTTTCTTGTCTAATTGATTTGATTGAAAAAAATTTTGTGTAATTAACATTTCGAGTAATATCTTTTGTTGTGAAAATAAATCATCTTTTAAAAATTAAATAATTAGTAACTTTGAACATTTCTATAGTTATATTTGTATATTATCTAAAACCTACTACATGCTTCAATTAACTCTATTGCATTATCAAGCGAATCTAAATTTGCACTACTCGATGATTTTCTTAAAACTATATTTTTATTATTATCACTATTACAATTGCTCTTATCACTATCACTGTTGATTTTATTGTTATTATTACTATTGCCATTACTATCATTACTGGTATTATTATGGTTGTCAAAAGAGTCATCTTTATTTGTATTGTTAGAATTTGAAGAGTCATTTGTATTTCGGCTATCGTCTGAATTTATAGGTCGAATTTTAGAAATATTATTTTTGAAGCTTTTCTCTTTTAATGTTTTTCTGTAGTCTGATATTAATTTTTGATGTTCTAACTTATTGTATTGATCATTGTTTGAGTTGATGTTATCATTGCTTGCACTATTATTAATATTTTTACTCTCTTTGGAGAGGGGTATTGATAAAGAACTATGGATTAAATTATATCTTCCATTGAAATATTCGTTACTATTATTATTGCTATTATTATTGATATTGCTATTACTATTATTTAATCCGTTAATGCTACAAAGTAATGGACTTTTTTTTTTTGTTGGTACTGTTGTACTATTATAATCACTATTACTGTCACTAATAGCTATACCCCTAACAACATTATCACAGGATGAGCCCAATGAACTGGAGTTAATGGATTTGATATTATTATTGTCTTTTGAACATGATAATGAAGATATATTATCAATTATTTCCTCAATATTATAATTCATAATTAATAATCCATAATAAAGCTATATTTATAAAAAAAAAAACAAAATAAAAAAAAGGAATTTAAGATATTTTATACAAAACTGGGGGATAATATAAAACAAACAAATAATAAGAATAAAATAAAAATTAAAAAAATAAAAAAATTTTTAAAAAATAAAAAAAAATTAAAAAAAAATATTAATATTCAGTTATGACCCATGAGTCATTTTTTAATATAATTATTTATATATATAAATTTCCCAAAAAAAAGAAAAAAAATGAAAAAAAAAAATAAAAAGAAAAAAAATAGAAATTTAAATAAAAAAAAAAAGAAATTTAAGTAAAAATTAATCTTTAATTTAATTTTTACTCACATTACAATTTTAATCAAAGTTTTAGGTTACTCCTTTTTTTATTTTGATTACACTTTTAAATACAATACATTTATTAGTGTACCCTTCCTTTTTTTTCTCTTTCGATTTCACCCACATTTAAATAATTAAAAAGGGTTAATGAATATAAAATTTGGTGTTTAAATATATTTTATTAATATGTGTGAAATTGGGGAATGTGTGTTATACATAAATGGAACTTAAATATATTTTTTTATTATTTTTTTTATTTAAAATTTTTTTTTTTTTTTTTTTTTATTAATTGTGCAAGTAATAATTTTTTTTTTATTTCTTATTATTAAACTATATTATATTATATATTTATTTATTTATTTATTTATTTATTTATTTATTTATTTATTTATTTAAAGTTCATAAGAAATCTAAAACAATATAAACTATTTTTTAAAAAAAGGTAAAGGATATTTTATTATTTTTGTTATGTAATTTTAGTAAAAAAATAAATTAATAATAACATAATAAAAATCATAAACTTTTTATAATATAAATAT